CCAGCGCAGGAGCTGCACTTGGGAGCTGCCCCCCACCCCCCTCCTGCCTCTCCTGGCGATAAGTGCCCGGCTGGCCCGCCTCTGTCTGGCCGGAGGAGCCAGAGCCTCTGAGCCCTTCAAGTCGGCCTTGAAGCCCCCTGCCCACCGTCTGGATGGCCAGGCGTTATCTGGGCTCATCTCAGGCTCGCACCAGCGCTGCCAGAGGAAATGAGCCCTGAGGAGAGGGCTGAGGGCTGTCCCCAGAGGGCCTGGACAGCCACTTGACAGGGGCCTCCAGGAGCACCAAGCAGCCCTCAGGGGAGCCTGTCAGCCCCAAGAGAAGTCTCAGGGCACCAGGGACCCTGCGGCAATGGGGGCTGGGCGTCAGCTGGGCATCCCTGACCCTCTGTGGTCTGTGCCCTGGACAAAGAGGCGGGAAGGCCTGGCTCACGGGCCCCACCCGCCCTGCTCTGCAGATGGCACGTGCTTGGGCACACGTTGGACACACACATACACACACAGGCTCCCTCCCTCACGCTCCTACCCACACCGGCCACACTCTCACGGGCACAGTTGTACACATGTACACATGCAGAGGCTCCCAGCACGCCCAGGTGCCCACATTCACCTCCCAGGCTGCTGGGCACCAGCACAAGGACCCGCTCTGCTCAGGCCAGGCCCGCATCGCACCGCCGGGGGCTCTGAACCCAGGCGACCACGCCAGCGTGCTGGGGGCGCCCCAGCCTCCCCGAGCCCCCCCGAGCCCAGCCTCAGGAGGCTCACTGGCTGACGGGCCCACTTCATGTGCTCTTAGGAACAGCTCGGGCTCTGGGTCAGCCACGGCCACCACCACAGCGCTTCGGGCCCTTCGAGCGTGGCTGGCTCAGGACTCCCACCTACCTTTCATTTTATCCCCATGCCCCCTCCTGCCCGTCAGAGTGACACAGGGCTCAGTCCCCCATATTATAGAAGAGACAAGTCGGGCTCAGCATCCCATCTCACAGGCGGGAGGAACAAGGCTCGTCCCCCATTTTACAGATGGAAAAGCTAAGGACGGGGGTATATCATGACTAGCGTGTACCTTACGACTGTCCTGAAGCTGAGGGTGTGGGGAGCAGGGGGCTCTGCCTAGACGCTGGCCTCCTGGGCTGTCAGACCCCTGCTTGGCTGCCTGCGGGCTCTCAGGGAGAAGGCCGTAGATGGGGCTTGAGGTTTTGCCGGCATCACGAGGAGACTCCTCCCTCTGTTGTGGTTTCTGGTGGTTGCTCCTGAGGCCTTGGTGCATTTATGGGCTCAGAGCTGACGCCCAGCCTGGGTGCCCCAGAGTCACCCGCCCTGTCCCCACGCTCCAGGCCCTGGCAGCCTCGAAGCCCCCACAGGAGACCTGTCACCCCGAGCAGGCCCTGCATGCACCGGGGGTCACCTCAGCCCAGCATTGGAGGCTGCCTGGGAAGGGTGCACAGTGGGCCACCTCCCTGCCTGAGAACAGTGGGTGTACCTGCCGGCAGGTCCACTGAGGGTCAGCTTGGGGCCCAGGCCGGAGGTGGCTGCACACAGCTGTGCCCTCCCAGCTGGCACTCGGTGGCCTTGCTGTCCTGGCCTCTCACCTGGGCCAGCTCCTCCAACGCTGTTTGTGAATGGGGACTGGTGGCCTGGAAAGGGGGAGCAAGCGGGCCCCTGTGGGTGAGTGGGCAGGAGGCTGATGCCCAGAGACGGTGGCTGCGGCCCAGGGCCACCCAGCCCCAGCAGCAGAGCCGGGGTGGCAGAGCCCCTGCGGATGATCCGGGCACTGCCTGTCCCTCCACACTGGGGACCTCCTTAAACCCCCGAAGACCCGGGGCGCCAACCCTGTCTGCACCGCTGGGCAGGCGGGCACAGAGGGGTGACTCGTGTCTTCTGGCCTGCAGCAAGCGCGGAAGCCCTACGACGTGCGGGACGTCATCGAGCAATACTCGCAGGGCCACCTCAACCTCATGGTGCGCATCAAAGAGCTGCAGAGAAGGTGGGCGCCCGCCGACCAGGCCTGAGAGACAGGGCGGCTGCTGGGGGCGGAAACCCTGGCCCCCCCCACTCCGGCCCACACCTCCCCCAGCTCAGAGCTGCAAGATGATCCATGGCCAGGCCCAGCCCCAGGGGACCCTCCACCATGACAGGCCCTGCGGGGCACAAGGCCCACCCTGGGGCCTCCCCACCCTAGACCTGGAGCTGGGGACCCCGGCCATGGAGCCAGCTCGCTCCGGCTTCTGACTTGGAGCCTGGAGGGCTTGTTCGTGCGGACACAGCATGCTCCTCAGGGCCTGGCGGGCTCAGAGCAGCTGTGCCTCCACAGTGGGCTAGCCCGGGGACCTAGCTCCTGGGTCACAGGTGCAGCTGGGACGATGCACTGGTCCTGACCCCAGGCTGGGGGCTCAGGCTGCCCTACCAATGCCCTGCCACTGGGACACGGAGGCCACCAGCTCAGGGACCTGGCCTCCCCCTGGGAACCCACCTGCAGGCCCGCCTCTCAGAACGTGTCCGAGGTGCCTGGCCAGGGGCATGCATGGAGCAACCTGGGGACACTGGGTGATCCTGCCCCATCCAGGGAGGAAGTCTAAGGGAGGTGCCCGACCACCAAGTCCCTGCCCAGCCCCATCGGGAGCACAGGCCTCTGAGGCCCAGGAGGCAGCTGGCAGGTCTGGGGGTGGCAGTGGTGGGTGGCCCCCAGAGGTGGGCAGCTTGTCATGTTGCTGGGCACATGGGCCGTCTGCTCCCTGACAGGCCGGGTGCCCAGGCCGGGCGTGAGCTGGTCTCTGTCTCCCTCCCAGGCTGGACCAATCCATCGGGAAGCCCTCCCTCTTCATCTCCGTCTCAGGTGGGTCTCCGCAGCCAAGCCCCGTGGGCGTGAGCCCGCCAGACCCTTTCCCACCCCTCCCCAGCGCCCACCTCTCCCCAAGTCAGAACAGGTCTTGGGCTCTCTGAGAGCCAGAGAGAGGGGCAGGGGAGCCCCCAATAAAGTGGCTTCAAACCCCCTTCATGAAGGATTCTCAGCGAGTACAGGAACCACGTGGGTCCCTCAAGTGCAGGCTTCTGCAGGCCGCTGAGGATCTGGTCTGGAACCGTGACCGGATCCTGTGAAGGGACCTGGAGAGTGGGGTTCGGGGCTGAGTGGCAAGCCCAAAACTCTTAGGGCCATTGACAGCCGCTGGGCGGGTGCCCTTCTCCAGCTCTGACTCCCCCTGTCCCCTGGACGGGGGCTGCGGGTCACACCAGGGAGGACAGGGCCAGGCAGGGTCCTCAGGGTTGCCTTTGCCCAAGTTCAAGCGGGAGCCACAGCTCGCATGGGGCCAGGATGGCAGAGGCAGTGGGCACAGGCGTCCCCCGGGGCCCGAGCCAGGCCCACGCTGCCCCTGGGGTGGCTGCATTGGGTTTGCACGGCCGCTGTGAGGGGCTCAGGTCACAGAGCTGGAAGGTGCGGCAGGAATGGAGCTTTGAGCC